TTTTGGGGTGCCAATCCCATATTTTGGGTTCTAATTCCCATATTTTGGGTTCTAATTCCCATTTTTTGGGTCCCAGGAAGCAGCTGGCTCAGGGGGAGCTGGCACGGGCACTGGGCACGTTTTTAGTGCCATATATCCCATTTTTGGGGGTCAATCCTATATTTTGGGGTGCCAATGCCATTTTTTGGGGTTCCAATCCCATATTTTGGGTTCTAATTCCCATTTTTTGGGCGCAGGAAGCAGCTGGCGCGGGGGGAGCTGGCGCGGGCGCTGGGCGCGTTTTTGGTGCCGTATATCCCATTTTTGGGGTGCCAATGCCATTTTTCAGGGTGCCAATCCCATATTTTGGGGTGCCAATCCCATATTTTGGGTCCTAATTCCCGTTTTTTGGGCGCAGGAAGCAGCTGGCGCGGGGGGAGCTGGCGCGGGCGCTGGGCGCGTTCCTGGGCCGGCTGCAGGAGGAGCTCAGGGACGCCATGGACGCCATGGGCTGCACCCGCTGCGGGGGACGCCACAGGTGGGGACAGCGGGGACACTGGGGGGACAACGGGGACAACTGGGACACTGTAGGGACTGCGGGGACAGTGGGGACAGCGGGGACACCAGGGACAGCGGCATCACCGGGGGGACAGCGGGGACACGGGGGACAGGCGGGCACACGCCAGGCTCTGGGACCCCCCCCAAAGCTCTGTGACCCCCCCCCCAAGCCTGGCAGTGCCCCCAGCACAGCCCTGGCACAGCCACGGGACGGGGACAGGGACAGGGACAGGGACAGGGTTTGGCGACACAGGGACGGTGACACCGGGGTGGGGACACAAGAGGGGCGAGGGGGTGGTGACGCGGCCAGACGTGTGCGCGTGCGGGGTGACACGGAGGGGACAGGGAGGGGACAGGGGCGTGTCTGGGGACACGGAGGGGGGATCCGCGTCCCGATGGGGACACGAGCGCATAGGCGACACCCGAGAAAGGGACACCCCTGAGGGCGACACGCGTGTCCGGGGTGACACCCGCCGGGGGGACACGTGTGACAGGACCCTGCGGGGGGCGAGGGGAGGGGGCGACACGGCACGGGGAGGGTCACACAGGGCACACGGGTGGCACACGGGTGGCACACGGGTGGCACCACGCACGAACCCAGGTAGGAATTGTGCGCCACGTCCGCGGCCGCGCCGGGGACCCTCTCTCCGGGCTCGGGGGTCCTGAAGACCCTCTGGTCGGGGGTCGCGCTCTCAATGTTTGTCACAAAGAGCAGCCCTGGGGAGGGGCAGGGGGCGGGGGGCTCAGGGCCGGGCCCCCCGTACCGAAGTAGCTGTTGGCGGGCACGGGGATCTGGGAGGGGTCCTGCTCCTTCTCGCCCCCCGCCTCGAACGGGCCGGAGTCCGCGCGCAGCAGGTCCAGCGAGCTCTGCCGCAGCTGCTCCAGGCGCACCGTGCCTGCGCCCGGGGCGGCGGCGACAGCGGCGACACTCAGGGACCCCCGGGAGCCAGGAGGGAGCGGCTCCAAGGGCGGGGACCCCTCCCCAAGGGACACCGCGGGGACACTCAGGGACCCCCGGGAGTCAGGAGGGAGCGGCTCCATGGGAAGAGACCCCTCCCCAGGGGACACCGCGGGGACGCTCAGGGACCCCCGGGAGTCAGGAGGGAGCGGCTCCATGGGAAGAGACCCCTCCCCAGGGGACACCGCGGGGACGCTCAGGGACCCCCGGGAGTCAGGAGGGAGCGGCTCCACGGGCGGGGACCCCTCCTCAAGGGACACCGCGGGGACACTCAAGGACCCCTGGGAGTCAGGAGGGAGCGGCTCCATGGCAGGGACCCCTCCCCAAGGGCCACCGCGGGGACACTCAGGGACCCCCGGGAGTCAGGAGGGAGCGGCTCCACGGGCGGGGGCCCCCCCCCAAGGGACCCCGCGGGGACACTCAGGGACCCCCGGGAGTCAGGAGGGAGCGGCTCCACGGGCGGGGGCCCCCCCCCAAGGGACCCCGCGGGGACACTCAGGGACCCCCGGGAGTCAGGAGGGAGCGGCTCCACGGGCGGGGGCCCCCCCCCAAGGGACCCCGCGGGGACACTCAGGGACCCCCGGGAGTCAGGAGGGAGCGGCTCCATGGCAGGGACCCCTCCCCCAGGGACAGGGGGGACACTCAGGGACCCCCGGGCACGGGGAGTCAGGAGGGAGCGGCTCCATGGCAGGGACCCCTCCCCAAGGGACAGGGGGGACAATGGCGACACTCAGAGGGACCCCCGGGCACGGGGAGTGGGGATGGAGCGGCTCCATGGCAGGGACCCCTCCCCAAGGGACACCGCGGGGACACTCAGGGACCCCCGGGGACGGGGAGAGGGGATGAAGCAGCCCCATGGGAAGAGACCACTCCCCAGGGGACAGCAGGGACAATGAACACACTCAGGGACCCCCGGGGACGGGGAGTGGGGATGGAGCGGCTCCAAGGGCGGGGACCCCTCCCCAAGGGACACCGCGGGGACACTCAGAGAGACCCCCGGAGACAGGGACTGGGGGCGGAGCAGCCTCACGGGCAGGGACCCCTCCCCAGGGTGAAGGGGACACCGAGGGACCCTCGTGCCCAGCATCAGCCGGGCACACCTGGGCACACCTGAACCTCCCCCCGCCCCCCACCCTCCCAGTTGTGGGTGCCCCACTCCCCAAACCCCCCCGTGTGGGGGTCCCAGCGCCCCTCACCCTTCCAGTTGTAGGTGTCGGGGGCCCCGAGCAGATAAAAATAAACCCCCAGACCCCCAAACTCCCCCGGTGGGGGGTGTCCCATCGCCCCTCACCCTCCCAGTTATGGCTCCCGCACCCCCAAAATCCCCTCGGGGTGGTCCCAGCACCACTCACCCTCCCAGTTCCGGCTCCCACACCCCCCAAATCCCCCCGTGTGGGGTCCCATCGCCCCTCACCCTCCCAGTTCTGGCTCCCACTCCCCCCGGGGGTGGTCCCAGCGCCCCTCACCCTCCCAGTTCTGGCTCCCACTCCCCCCGGGGGTGGTCCCAACGCCCCTCACCCTCCCAATTCCGGCTCCCACACCCCCCACTCCCCCCGGGGGTGGTCCCAGCGCCCCTCACCCTCCCAGTTCTGGCTCCCACTCCCCCCGGGGGTGGTCCCAGCGCCCCTCACCCTCCCAGTTCTGGCTCCCACTCCCCCCGGGGGTGGTCCCAACGCCCCTCACCCTCCCAATTCCGGCTCCCACACCCCCCACTCCCCCCGGGGGTGGTCCCAGCGCCCCTCACCCTCCCAGTTCTGGCTCCCACTCCCCCCGGGGGTGGTCCCAGCGCCCCTCACCCTCCCAGTTCTGGCTCCCACTCCCCCCGGGGGTGGTCCCAACGCCCCTCACCCTCCCAATTCCGGCTCCCACACCCCCCACTCCCCCCGGGGGTGGTCCCAGCGCCCCTCACCCTCCCAGTTCTGGCTCCCACTCCCCCCGGGGGTGGTCCCAGCGCCCCTCACCCTCCCAGTTCTGGCTCCCACTCCCCCCGGGGGTGGTCCCAACGCCCCTCACCCTCCCAATTCCGGCTCCCACACCCCCCACTCCCCCCGGGGGTGGTCCCAGCGCCCCTCACCCTCCCAGTTCTGGCTCCCACTCCCCCCGGGGGTGGTCCCAGCGCCCCTCACCCTCCCAGTTCTGGCTCCCACTCCCCCCGGGGGTGGTCCCAACGCCCCTCACCCTCCCAATTCCGGCTCCCACACCCCCCACTCCCCCCGGGGGTGGTCCCAGCGCCCCTCACCCTCCCAGTTCTGGCTCCCACTCCCCCCGGGGGTGGTCCCAGCGCCCCTCACCCTCCCAGTTCTGGCTCCCACTCCCCCCGGGGGTGGTCCCAACGCCCCTCACCCTCCCAATTCCGGCTCCCACACCCCCCACTCCCCCCGGGGGTGGTCCCAGCGCCCCTCACCCTCCCAGTTCTGGCTCCCACTCCCCCCGGGGGTGGTCCCAGCGCCCCTCACCCTCCCAGTTCTGGCTCCCACTCCCCCGTGTGGGGGTCCCAAAGCCCCTCACCCTCCCAATTCCGGCTCCCACACCCCCCACTCCCCCCGGGGGTGGTCCCAGCGCCCCTCACCCTCCCAGTTCTGGCTCCCACTCCCCCCGGGGGTGGTCCCAACGCCCCTCACCCTCCCAATTCCGGCTCCCACACCCCCCACTCCCCCCGGGGGTGGTCCCAGCGCCCCTCACCCTCCCAGTTCTGGCTCCCACTCCCCCCGGGGGTGGTCCCAGCGCCCCTCACCCTTCCAGTTGTAGGTGCCGGGGGCGCCGAGCAGCACGTAGCGGCGGTCGGGGCTGAAGGCGGCCGCCAGGCCCTGCTGGCAGGTGCCGAAGCGCTCGTGGCCCGGGGGTCGCCCCTCGCAGAACTTCCACTCGCCGCCGTCCAGCTCGTCCCGCAGCCGCAGGTCCTGGCTCAGCACGAAGCAGCGCCCGATCACGTCCCGCGTCTCCAGCGGCTGCCGCACGCGGTGCCGCACCTCGTACCGGTGCGCGCAGGTCTGCGGGGACACCCCGGGGGTCACGGCCGCTCGGGGGACCCCTCCCCTCGCAGAGGTGTCGCCGGTGTCCCCGCGGTGCTCACCACGATCTTGCCGCCCGGCCCTTGGCTCTTGACGCTGACCCCCAGCCACTGGTTCTCTTTGCTCTCGCGCTCCGGGTCCGCTGCGGCCACCGCAGGGAGGGGTCAGCCCGGCCGGGACCCCCCCTCCGGGACCCCCCGGGACCCCCCCGCTCACCTCCCTCATCGATGGGCACCCGCCAGCAGTCCGAGAGCTCGGTGGTCAGCGGGCAGGCGAAGAGACCCCCGGTGCGGTTGGCGCCCTGGCCGGGCAGTGCCAGCGCCTGGGGGGCTCCCACCAGCAGCCTGGCAGGGCAGAGACCCCCGTCAGGGCTGTGGGGAGGGGTCCCCGAGGGTCACAGAGCGCCCCCTCCCCCCCCCCCCCCGCCGCCCCGGGGCCCCCCCCNCCCCACCCCAAAATCCCCCAGACCCCCTCAGCGGGACCCCTCCCCACCCCGGCGCTCGGGGCGCTCCCAGCTCCGCTCCCCTCTCCCCCCATTCCCGGGGGTTCCCGTCCCTGCCCAGCCCGGGGGTCGCGTCCCCCCCGGTTCCCCGCTCGCCCCCCGGTTCCCCGCTCACCACGCCCGGGGCTCGGGGCTCAGCTGCCGGTGCAGCGCCACGGCCGCCCCGAAGAGGCTGCCCCGCTCGCCGTCCTTCAGCACCGGGCTGCTCCCGTCCAGGTTGAACGCGGCGGCCGCCGGTGGCCACGGGGACAGCGCCGGTAGCCACAGGGACACCCACGGCAGCCACAGGGACAGCGCCGGTAACCACAGGCAGAGCCCCGGTAGCCACAAGGACAGCCCCGGTAGCCCCCGAGACAGCCCCGGTAGCCACCGGCAGAGCCCCGGTAGCCATAGGGATACCCACGGTAGCCACCGGGACAGCCCCGGTGGTCCCCGGCGCAGCCCCGGCCGCCCCCCGCAGCCCCCGCTCGCCATCCCCGCGCTGCCGGTGCCGCCGCCCGCGGGAGGAGCCCCGGAGCTCCCGGGGGGCGGCTCCGCCCCGGCCCCGCCCGCGGAACCGGGGAAACCCCGGAGAGCCCGGCCCGGCGGGGGGAGGGGACACGAATCCTGGTGCGTGACCCCAAATCCAGAGTGACCCCAAATCCCAGAGAGACCCCAAATCCCAGAGAGACCCCAAATTCCAGTACTGACCCCAAATCCCAGGCCCTGGGCAGTGACCCCAAAGCTCAGGGAGTGGTTTTGGCCTGGCAATGGATTTTTGTTCCGTTTTGTTCCGTTTTGTTCCATTTCCAGCTCCCGGGTTATTTTTAGCCTCTCCCAAAACCTCGGGGGATTTTTGGGGATTTTTTTGGGGATTTTTTGGGATATTTTGGGATTTTTGGCTCCGTGGGAAGCAGCCCGGCCCCTCCCCCCCTCCGCTTTTTGGGGGCATTTTGGGGGGTCCAAACCCCCCCTTCCCCATCCCAATTCTTCCCAGTTTTATTTTTGGGGTTTGTTTTGGGTTTGTTTTTTAATTTTTTTTTGGGGGGGGTTTATTTGGGGATTTTATTTCTATTAATTTTAATTTTAATTTTAATTTTGGGGTTTGTTTCTGGGGGTTTTTTTGGGGGGTTTTATTTTTATTTATTTTTATTTTTGGGGTTTATTTCTGGGGTTTGCTTTGGGGTTTTAAATTTTATTTATTTTTAATTTTAATTTTATTTTTGGATTTTATTTTTGGAATTTGTCCTGGGTTATTTAATTTTTTCCAGGTTATTTTCTTTTTCCCGGGATATTTCATTTTTCCCGGGTTATTTTATTTTATTTTTCGCGGGTTATTTAATTTTTCCCGAGTTTTATTT